AACTCACGTCCTGAATATCTTAAATAAAAATATTGGTTGATTGTAATTTCAACAGAACTTCTCTTGCCCCTAAAGTACAGCCCAATAAATACTTCTTCTTTGAAGAAATTTTAAAAAACCTTGCGATTTTTGTTTTCTGATAGAGGTTATCAGAAAACAAAAAAAATAAAAAATAAAGTTAAAACCAGTAGTGTAAATAGCATCCCCACAGATTTTTTGCCTTTAATTTTCCAGTTCTTCAATTTTTCTTTTTTTGTTTCTTGAGTTTTTTGATTTGCAATTTTTGGAGTTTGCAAGTTAATATTTTCCAAGTTTAAAATTTTTCAATTTTTAAATTTTGCAATTTTCCTATTTAAAATTTCTTAAGCTTCCCATTTTTAATTTTTTCGATTTTTCAATGTTCCGGCTCTATAATTTCTTGTTTTTCCAATTCCAGTTTTTTCAATTTTGCGATTAGCAATTTTTCAATTTTTTCATTTTTTTATGTCTTCATATTATGCGATATGTAACTCTTCAAGTTTTCATTGTTGAATTTTCAAGTTTTCCGATTTTCCAACTTCTGGATATTTCATTTTTTACATTTAGCAATTTTCCGATTTGCAATTTCACGAGTTTTCAATTTTAAAAATTTAAATTTTTCATTTCTTTAATTTTCGAACTGCAATTTTTCGTTGGGGATTTTTATTTTCCTTATTTTTCAGATTTTAGGTTTTTCAATGCTCTGATTTTATAAATCTTTTTAACAATGTGAAATGTTTCAGTTTTTTCATTTTCCAACGTCTAAAAGTTTCAATTTTTAGATTTTGTAATTTCACTAGTTTTCAATTTTTAATATGTCAATTTTTCAATTTTTGAATTTTCACTTCTTCAATTTTTCGTTGCGGTTTTTATTTTCTCTGCTTTTCAAATTGTCGGTTTTTCAGTGCATTCATTTTATAATTTTTCTTCTTTTCAATGTGAAAATTTTCAATATCTGGATTTTTCAACACGGATTTTTAATTTTTTGTTTTTTCAAATTTAGAATTTTCAGTTCCCCCATTTTTCAAATTTTCCTTTCCTCACATTTTGATTACCAATTTTTCTAGTCTTTATTTTAAATATATAACAATAATTATAATTTTTAAAATTTTTCATTTTTTTATTTTAAGATTTGAGAATTTTTCCATTTTTCAACTGCTGGATTTAAAAACGTTTTCAATTATTTGATTTTCAAATTTTCGATTTTTAAGCTTTGAATTTCTCGATACAATTTAATTTTCGCAATTTTTCGATTGATTAATCGTTTGAGATTTTTAAGTTTCTCGATTAATAGTTTTTCAATTTTTTGTTTCTGCAATTTTTTGATTTGCTATTTTTTAAATTCCACTTTTTCGATTTTGCAACGTTCCGATTTTATAATTTTTTGTTTTTTTAGTTTAAATTTTTTCAAACTTTCGTTTCTTCAATTTTTCGATTTGCAATTTTTTATTTTTGTTTTTTTTGTTCCTTCAAATATATGATATGTAACTCTTCGAGTTTTCGTTGTTGAATTTTTCAGTTTTTCCATTTTCCAACTTCTGAATGTTTTAATTTTTAATATTTCAATTGTTGAATTTTTCATTTCTTTATTTTTCAAATTGTCAGTTTTTCAATGTATTCATTTTATAATTTTTCTTCTTTTCAATGTGAAATTTTTCAATATCTAGATTTTTCAACCCGGATTTTTTAATTTTTTGTTTTTTCAAAAATTTAGATTTTTCAGTTCCCTGATTTTTCATTTTCCCTTTCCTCAAATTTTGATTATCAATGCTTCTAGTCTTCATTTTAAATATATAATAATAATTATAATTTTTTAAAATTTTCCCTTTTTCAATTTTACGATTTGAAAATTTTTCCATTTTTCAACTAAACTGGATTTTGAAATTTTTTATTTATTCGATTTTTCAATTTCTCGATAGTTAACTTTTCCATCTTTCAATGTTACAGTTTTTTTATTTTACAATTTTAATGTTTCCATAGTTTTTCGATTTTACAATTTTTGAGTTTTCCAATCTTTCAACTCGATTCGTTTTTAAATTTTTCCTTTCTTCAATTCCTTAATTTGCAATTTTTGTTATTTCCACTTTATCGATTTTGCTATTTCTTGTTTTTTAGGTCTTTCGATTTTTCAGTCATTTCGATTTTTTTAGTTTTTCGATTTATAATTTTTCGTTTTTTTGAATCAAAAAAATGGAAAAATGGAAAAACTGGAAGACTAAAACTGAAAAACCAGAAAAGAAAAACCGAGAAGGTATGAAATGAAAACATTATGTAATCTTGAAACTGGATGTGATGAACTTGAAAAATTGAAGAAACAAAAATTTTAAAAATCGAAAGAATCGAAAAAGGGTAAAATCGGAAAATCGAAACATTGAAAATGAAAGAAATCGGAAAATCGAGAAATGAAAAATCAAAAATTTGAATTTTGAAACATTTAATAAACAAAAAATTATAAAATCAAATGAAACATTGAAAAAATAAAAGACATGAAAAAACGAAAAATTGTGATATCAAAAAATTTTACCTTTTACTTCTCGAGCTTTGAAATCTTGGAGATGTTTTACAGTTATTATAAGCATGGTAATTTTTTTATCAAAATGTATTTGCTCATCCCCCCTAAAAAATTGATGACGTCACCCCAAAATTTTGCTGAATAAATCCTATCTAAAATGTACAAAATATGATGAGTCTGTACTTGTGATTTATCATTCCATTCATATTTTTGGATTTGCATAAACAGGGTAACTCAAAAAAATTAATGAATGTGTCAATTTATTTTATTGATTTAATCAGGAATTACAAAACCCAATGCTTTGAAATCTTGGAGATACTTTAAAGTTATTATAAGCATGGTAAACTTTTGTTCAAAATGTATTTGTTCATTCCTCCTAAAAAAATTGATGACGTCACCCTTAAATTTTGCTGAATAAATCCTATCTAAATTGCAAAAAATATGATGAGTTTGTACTTGTGATTTATCATTCCATTCATATTTTTTAGATTTTCTTAAAAGGTGGCTCAAAAAAATTTATGAAGTCAATTTATTTTATTGATTAAATTAATGGCAACACTTAGTATTACATTGGACCAACCCGATTTGGTAGACACAAAATTTTTTAAAGTAAAAACTCGGTTGAAACATAAGGGTAGCACGCTTATTTACATCGACTTTAACATTACAGACGTGCATTTGTTTTATGCGCTGACTAGGTTCCGCGAATGTGGAATAGACATGTTTATAATCAACCAATTGTGAATTCCACCGTCAAAAATTAAAATAAAACCCAATGTTTTATATAATAAGCGGAAGTCGAAGCAATAAAACCGATGGTCGTTTTGTTTACAGTTTCTTTGTTTGCTCTCACGTATGTTTTTACGCTTGTCATCTTAAATTAAGAATGTTTATACATAAACGATTTTCAGTTGCCTCTCATATTACACACCGGCGCCGTATACGTGAGTAAATTGTTTCGTTATTTTATTGATTATAAAAAATCAATATTCAAAACGACCCAATTCATTTTCCCGAAAATTTGGGAATACAATAATTTTATTCTTAGTATTACACTACATCTATCCCAACTGATATACTTGTCCTTGCAAAAATGTTGATGACGTCATCGCAATTTTTTTTTAATTTCCACTACAAAAATGTAATGAGAAAAAAACACAATAGGCATGCAGTCGTCAAGTTTCCGACAGCGAGGGAAGTACTGTCTAAACTCTTTAGACCAATTTTTTATGATAATTGTTAACCCTTATAAGTTAAAATAGAGATATGTATGTAAATGTGAAGAAGCATGCTACGCGTTCATTTCAAGTGAGTTTTTCAGAATATAAAATTTTGTGATGACATCATCAACATTTATGCAAAGACTCGTCGTCAATTTGGATAGATGCAGTGTAATACCAATAATAATTAATAACAATACTATATTCCCAAATTTTCGCAGAAATGGAGTGAGTAGTTCGTGATTTTAATCAATACAATTAAATGCCTCATCTATTAATTTTTTTGGATCACCCTGTATAAGTAATTCTAAAATCAATGAGTGCATTGATAAAGAAATTGAGGATTTAGTCTGCAAAATTTTAAGATGACGTTTTAAATTTTTTGGAAGGGTGAAACGAATAAATTTTGATTAATGATTTACAATGATTACGACAACCTTAAAATATACGTAACATTTCAAAGTATTCAATTTGTCAGTTTCAAAGTTAAATTGCAAAATTGTGTTACGCAATCTTGATTTTTTCCAAAAATCTAGATGTCTAGAGTAAAACGTGAACACAGATTCATAAACCACATGTAAAGGATAATCTATTTTATAATATTGAAATAATATTTACTAATGTAAATTTTGGAGATGAGGTCGTCCTATTATTGGTTGGTATGTTTATCCAAATTTTGCTTAGCGTTTTATCATCTACACGATATCATAAAAATTATTTTTATGTTAAGTGTACAGTAAAAGTTATTTACCTCACTGAAGAGTACGACATAAAGTGCTACTTACCTCACACTCGTAGAAAAATAATAGGAGTATATTTTTTTAAGCGTTTAAACTTTATATATCTTATTCCCCTGTCACTTCTGTGCCGACTACGTGCGTACAGCTACAGATTTTTTATGATGTTAATAATTATAACAAATTTTATTGATTTTATTGTTTAAATTTGCAAATTAATAACCATCCTAGTCTTGTTAACATCTTCAGCCAGCATCAGCACAATCGACAACACTGACGTCCAGAATTTGGCTTTCTACCACCAAAACCTCAAAACCTTAATTTAATCTCAAACTGCGGTTTTGCCTTGGCAAAGCCCCAATCTTCCAGGTCTGTTCACTTCTTTGCTTAATCCCATTCGACTGATTAATTTATCGCCGACCAGCCCAGCCCGAAAATAAATTTGTTTCGACTGTTCCGATATGCCTTAGGGCCAGATAACGTCTACGTAACGCCGCAATAAATCATACTTACGTCTGCGATGGCGTACACTTGTCCCACGTAAACAAGCAAAATAACTTGGGTCAAAGCCAAAACCGTTCCCGCTAGGAGGGCGTCTTTCAGACGGATCGGCATCAAAGCGTATGTTAAATAGGTGGTGGCGAGGGAGAAAGTGGGTCCCAATAACGGTCGCTGTCGCTCCGTGAAGAAAGAAATACATATCTGGAATGCATAACAATGAAAAATAAACGACGTTAGAGTTGCGTACAATGACAGTAATGTAATACGTTTGTAAATAATAAATTTTGGCAAGCAATATTCTTAATGGTTTTTCGAAGGAGTCTCGTTATAAAAAGAGCATTAGAATTTCCCTTTTCGGCGTAAACGTCGCAGCTGCTGGCGACGACTTCTTTGCATTTCTCTCGATAAAGCCTACTCGAGGGCTTTGTGCTTATGTTTACGAGATATCAGGTTGTCTTGAGGTTTGTACGAAAAGGCTGTCGCCAAATTATTCGCACGAGGAAAATGTCTAACGAAGAGCACTTCAAACTTTTTCAGATAAAATAGATTTTGAGGAAAGGAAATTGTTTTATTTACGACAGATGAAAAAAGTGAATAGAATCCTATAGTTTCCAAGAGGATGAATAAAAACTGATAGTTAAACTGTTGTAGAAAATTGTTTGTTGTGTTAGTCGTAATTTTTGTAACATTGAAAATTAATTTAACAAGTCGTGATGAACCCTTATACAAGGCATTTACGAAGCTGTAGCCGCTATGATTTTTTTTTTCTAGGAAGTCCAAGGACAAGCGCCGCTCGTGAAAAGTTTATGAAGCTGAATGAAGATGGATTTCTAGTCTTTTCCGTGAAGAAGTCCGAAAATTACACGTCTTCCAACCATTGGAATGTTTATTTTATATTGCAGGTTGAAGTCATCGTGTCATAAACAAAAAAAAAATGGTCGAAAGTTATTTCGACAGACTTCCTTCGCCCCCAAATGCAGTACCAAAATCCCGCTTCTTTGAAAACTTGAAAAATTTGATTTTGCCAATTTGTATTCAATAAAACAAATACCAGAGTATGCTATTTTATGAAATTTATTATATATATATAAATATATAATAAATAGGTTTTTTGATTATATATATATATATACGTCAATAATAACTTTTGGCCTCGCGCCAGATTTAGGCAACAAGTAATGGGTGATATGAAAACCACATCCTAGCCTCAAACCTGTCATATCAGTGTTCAAATTTGTATTTATGGTTGCATCATTTACAACAAGCGAATGCTTGACACGTTTTAAAGTAGGTAAATATTTGGAGTTATAGTTTAAACTGTTTTCGAGTAAAAGAAAGAAAAAGTGGTATGAATCAGTTTATTCAGAAACAATTTTTTGGAATTAAAACAGCCACATAGAGGCTGAAGAAATTAAGACAATCAAAGAGAAAAGAAAACAACTTAAAACTAGGAAAGCTTACTTCGTAGTAAATGCAATTATATTCAATGAACATTTAATACTACTATAAAACACCAAAGTAGATTATTCATATTTCTTATGAAGTTAGAGATTGCAATTATTAACAAAGTTGACAACGTATGGATAAAGTTAAATATATATCTTTTAGTCAAAAGAGGTGTCTGCATAATTTGTTACAGTGTGTTTGCAGGTATATTTGTACAATGCAGCAGCTGCTGCATTCACTATCCAAATGTAATGTATAAATAATGATTTGTCTGGTGCAGTCTTAAAATTAGGTATTTTTACTATATTTCAATTGGATAAATATTTTTACACATATTTGTAAATTCTCGTGCTTTGCCAGTTTTAGACGTTGGAATTTTAATTATTAGCGTATCGTTTTTGTCTTGAATGCCGTCATTATTTTTCAATTTATCCATTCCACATGCTCCTACAACTTCTAATAAAAAATAAACCTAAAACATAATGATTTATAGACAATGTGATTGACCTTGTTTGAGATCACCTTTAACATCAGGTACATTTAATCACGGGCTTCTGTTAAAAATTTTGGTAAGTCTTCTCTTGTAAATATATTTGATTTCTTGGCAATGTAACCTATATTTTTTGCTTGAAAACTTGGTGTACTTAGATATATCTATGCTGTTTTTTATTAACAGAGTTGACTTTAACTACGACTATGCAGCCCAAAGTGTTAAAGATTTCACAGAATTTGCTTTTTCAGCGAAATACTCGTATGCAATGAGGTGTTCTCCATATATTTTGCATGGTTGTTTCTGCGCAAAAAAAAATTCATACCGCTTTTCATAAACTGTGGCTGAGTTTTTAGGTAATAAATTTGATATATTATCTGCCAGTTTTTGCAAGTTCGGTCGAATGCATGTAAACTGCTTGTTATTATTGCTATCCATCTCTATTTTGCAATTGCTACAGATCTTTCTGCAAGCAAAAATATTAAAAGTGCCGAAAAATAAGAGGTATGCTTCATACTTTCATTTAAAATGGGCATGTAAGCTAATAATCTGTTCTGTAATAATAATAAAAGCTTATTATAGGTTATGTAGATACAAGAAAATTGTTCAAATTCTTCCATTCCGCATACTCCTACAACTTCGAATAAAAAATATACCTAAAACATTATGTTTTATAGACAATGTGATTGACCTTCTTTGAGATTACCTTTGACATTAGGTACATTAATCACGGGCCTCTGTTAAAAATTTTCGTAAGTTTTCTCTTGTAAATATATTTGATTTCTGGGAAACATAACCTATATTTTTTGCTTGAGAACTTGGTGTACTTAGATTATATCTATGCTGTTTTATATTAACAGAGTTGACTTTAACAACGACTATGTAGCCCAAAATGTTGATTTCACAGAATTTTCTTTTTCAGCGAAATACTCGTATGCAAAATGAGATATTCTCCATATAATGTTTTCCATGGTTGTTTCTGCACCGAACAAAAACTTATTACAGGTTATGTGGATACACATTGTTCGCTGCCATAGAATGTCGCTGCACTTCAAGAAATCCGCTGTTGCCATGCAAGGTTGCGACGTTGCGAGATTACGCGCAAATTTAGTTAATAAATTATATTTATAAAATTAATAAACCGGATGTGTTTCTAATAACTAATAAAAAGGGTTAACAAAGAGTATAGAATTACTGCTAAACCGAAAAACAATTTATAACCTTGTAAAATGTAATTGTGGAGGTAGATAATACTAATATGACAACACCGCATTTAATTTCTGTGCCGATTTTTGAACATAGAAAAAGCACATTACTGCGCGATTTCGAAAAAAGAAACATTACTATTTTTTAGCAGCTTTTAACCTCTCTTTTTATATTTCTCCAAGAAAGGCGTACATGTCAATTTTAAAATACCAGTTTAAGTTGGAGTAAGAAATTTACTTTTATGGTTGTGTGTACAGGCACTTCTACAATTAGCAGTACAAGTTTTTGTTAATCTCTTAAATTATTTTTCTACTTATGGAGCCAATCTGGATATTTGCTTAAGGGTGTGCTTTAAATTTTAGGAATTAATATCTTGGAACGTCATGCATCGTTTCCATACATTTTTGAGCTTCTGTTTTATTTTCTAATCACTTGGAATTTCATTTCCAAAAACAAAAATTGTACTTGAAATGATAGATATGAAGCTCATTATTCCGAAACATGTAATTATAAGATCAAATGTTACTATGCATGAAATGTATTATTTGATATAAAGTAACTTTTGATATCGCATTCTTTAGATTTTTTTCATGGGTACTTTACAGTTAATAGTATCACCATGAAATTGTTTCTTAGATTTGTTTTTCTTTCTTCCGGTATTTGAATCACAATTTGATAATCTTAAAACAACGACAATTAATTTAACTTTAGCTTGAGTTGTGAACCTGAAAGTTGTTTTGTATGAATTTGTGTGACAAAAGTGTACTAAAGATGAAAATAATTACTTATACTCTTTTATAATCATTAATTATATTTGTAGCAATTTTTGGCCTCTCGTATTTTATATTATTTTATCCAAGAAACAAGCGAAATTTGAAAGACCAGTTTAATATTTTAATGGAGCAGTAATTATGAACCCAAATGTTGCTATGGATAAAAACTATTATTTGACTTAAATTAACTTTTGGAATCACAGTCTTTGGATTTTTTTCGTAGATACTCCACAGTAAACAACATAATTATAAATCTGTCCCTTTGATTTATTAAATTCTCAATCCGCCGATATTTGAAAGACGATTTGGTATTCTTAAAACAAGGGTTACTAATTTAATGTTTCCTTGGACTGTGAGCCTGAAAGTTGTTTTGTATGAATCCATATGGGGTCAAAGTGTACTAAAGATGAAAAGAATGACTTCGTTTATAGCAACTTTTGGCCTCTCGTGTTTAATATTTCTCCAAGAATGTTTTTAATTTTGTAAGATATTGGGCCAATAAAACATACACAGACAACATTATTTGCAATTCTTCCAACCACCTATGAATTCATAAAATATCAACTTTTGCATCTTTAATTGAAATATTGTTCAATTCTAATCTAAACCATGAAAACTATAATAAAGAACTTCAGTCCATAAAACAAATTGCAATAAATAATGACTTTAAAGTAAAATTAATCCACAATCTAATTGACAAAATAAGATACAAAATTAAAAAAAAAACAATGTTGCTCGTTGTTCAAAACGGACCATGATACTAAGGAAGACATAGGTAGATATTATTTTCTGAATTTTATTGAAACATTATCTTACAAAATTAAAAACATACTAAATAGAGTGAATAAAAATGTTAATATTTCATTTAGAAAAATTAATTCAACCAGAAATCAGTTACTGAACAAAAAAGATAAAATTACTTAACTAGATAAAGCCGGAGTCTATCAATTACAATTTGAATGTTGAGATTGTGCCTTAAATTTTACGAATCCATATCGTGAAATAATACACCTCATGAATTTCACTGGCTTGTGTTGAAATTTCGGGTTTCCAATTTTAAATTTATTAATCTAGTACTTCGTTCCAAAAACAAAATTGTGCCCGGAATGATGGGTTAATTACCTGTTTTCACATATACGAAGCGGCACGAGTCCGAAAGTTACCTAACATGCAATTATGAGGCTAAATGTTGCTATGGATGAAAACTATTATTTGAATTAAAGTAACTTTTGGCATCACAGTCTTTAGATCTTTTTTCATAGGTATTTTACACTTAACAACATCATTATGAATTTATTTCTTAGATTTATTTCTCAATCCACCAATATTTGTCTTAACCTCATAGAAAATGTTTCGTCTTATGGAAAAAATCTGAATCTTTACACCTGGGGGTGTGCCTGAATATATATCACCGAATATTGCCTCACATGAATTTTACTGCCTCGATTTGACCAAATTTTGGGTTTCCGATTTTAGATTTAATCATGTACCTAGTACTTTAAGATATGTTAGCACATGAGTCCGAAATTATGAGGCCAAAAGTTTCTATGGATGAAAGCCATTATTTGATTTAAAGTAACTTTTGGCATCACATTCTTTAGATTTTTTTAATAGTTACTTCACAATTAATAACATAATTATGACTTTTTCTTTTAGGGTTATTTCTCTTATCTGTTATTAAAATAACTGCTATTAAGTTAATTTTAGCCTGGGTTGTAAGTTTGAAAGTTGTTTTCTACGATTCTGTGAGGCCAAAGTCTACAAAAGATGAAAATAATTTTAGGTTAGATAGTTCAACACTCAGCCAATTATTTATTTTTATTTATACTATTTTCGTGTGGTATAGCAAGAATAATGGTCAAAAATCAAGTATTTTAGGATCAAAAAACGGCAGATCAAATTCCTGATAATATTAACACTAATAAGTCTAAAAATTTAACCAAATATTGACTTTTTTAAAGTGTTATAGGTTTACTGACGAGGTGGCTGAGAAAGGGGATGAACCCTGAAACTGGTATCACCAAAATAGTATAAATAAAAATAAATAATTGGTTGATTGCCGAACTACCTAACCCAAATTTATGCCCACGCTAATATGGAAAAAAACATATCAAAATAATTGGCTCATTAATAGCAACTTTGGACCTGTCGTCCTTTATATTTGGCTAAGTAGCAAGTATTTAAAAAATGTAAATTATCACTTTAACTTTGAATAAAAAATATTTTTATGAATGCGTCTACAGATACTTCTACCATTCACAGTCTAATTTTGTTTTAACTTCATACAAAATGTTTCGTATTATGGAAAAAATCTGAATCTTTACACTTGGGGGTGTGCCTGAATATATAGCACCGAATATTGATTCACATGAATTTTACTGCCTCGATTTGACCAAATTTTGGGTTTCCGATTTTAGATTTATTCATGTACCTTATACTTTAATGTATGTTAGCACATGAGTCCGAAAGTCATTCGTCATGTAATTATGAGGCCAAAAGTTTCTATGGATGAAAGCCATTATTTGATTTAAAATAACTTTTGGCATCACAATCTTTAGATTTTTTTAATAGTTACTTCACAATTAATAATACAATTATGACTTTTTCTTGTAGGTTTATTTCTCTTTTTTGTTATTAAAATAACTGCTGTTAAGTTAATTTTAGCTTGGGTTGTAAGTTTGAAAGTTGTTTTCTACGATTCTGTGAGGCCAAAGTCTACAAAAGATGAAAATAATTTTAGGTTAGATAGTTCACCACTCTGCCAATTATTTATTTTTATTTATACTATTTTCGTGTGGTATAGCAAGAATAATGGTCAACAATCAAGTATTTTAGGCTCAAAAAACGGCAGATCAAATTCCTGATAATATTAACACTAATAAGTCTAAAAATTTAACCAAACATTGACTTTTTTAAAGTGTTATAGGTTTACTGACGAGGTGGCTGAGGAAGGGGATGAACCCTGAAACTGGTATCACCAAAATATTATAAATAAAAATAAATAATTGGTTGATTGCAGAACTACATAACCCAACTTTATACCCACGCTAATATGGAAACACACATATCAAAATAATTAGCTCATTTATAGCAACTTTCGAACTCTCGTATTTTATATTTGTCTAAGTAGCAAGTACTTAAAAAATGTAAATTATCACTTTAACTTTGAATAAAAAATATTTTTATGAATGTGTCTACAGTTACTTCTACCATTCATAGTCTAATTTTGTTTTAACTTCATACAAAATGTTTCGTATTATGGAAAAAATCTGAATCTTTACACTTGGGGGTGTGCCTGAATATATAGCACCGAATATTGATTCACATGAATTTTACTGCCTCGATTTGACCAAATTTTGGGTTTCCGATTTTAGATTTATTCATGTACCTTGTACTTTAATGTATGTTAGCACATGAGTCCGAAAGTTATTCGTCATGTAATTATGAGGCCAAAAGTTTCTATGGATGAAAGCCATTATTTGATTTAAAGTAACTTTTGGCATCACAATCTTTAGATTTTTTTAATAGTTACTTCATAATTAATAAGACAATTATTACTTTTTCTTGTAGGTTTATTTCTCTTATTTGTTATTAAACTAACTGCTATTAAGTTAATTTTAGCTTGGGTTGTAAGTTTGAAAGTTGTTCTCTACGATTCTGTGAGGCCAAAGTCTACAAAAGATGAAAATAATTTTAGGTTAGATAGTTCAACATTCAGCCAATTATTTATTTTTATTTATAATATTTTCGTGTGGTACAGCAAGAATAATGGTCAAAAATCAAGTATTTTAGGATCAAAAAACGGCACATCAATTTCCAGATAATATTAACACCAATAAGTCTAAAAATCTAACCAAATATTGACTTTTTTAAAGTGTTATAAGTTTACTGACGAGGTGGCTGAGAAAGGGGATGAACCCTGAAACTGGTATCACCAAAATAGTATAAATAAAAATAAATAATTGGTTGATTGCAGAACTACCTAACCCAACATTATACCCACGCTAATTTGGAAACACACATATCAAAATAATTAGCTCATTTATAGCAACTTTCGAACTCTCGTATTTTATATTTGTCAAAGTAGCAAGTACTTAACCCTTAACTTGGCAAAACCAGAAGAGGCCACAAAAAATTATCTTTCTACATTTTTGTACATATATGGAAGTTACAAAGTAAAAAAATCGTTCAGAATAATTTTCAACACAATCGTTCTTTGTTTACAACTATGTATCTCAGAAGATACACCGCCCGGTTTAGGGGGTACTGGAATGTATCTGTGTAGATACATTGCCAGATTTTAGGAACACAGCATAAATTCATCGAAAAGCTGGCAGTGTGAACTGTGGGATACAACCATGATTTTAAGCAATATTGGCAATGTATCTCCTAAGATACAACCAGATTTTTATGTTGGTCTGATATAAATGTACTAAAATTGTATCAAAATCTCAGTAAATATAGATAATTATTAATCAAACTCGGTCCAGAACACCAGATTGAGACAACTCATGATTTTTTTACAAATATAATTATATTCATTATTTTACACAATTAAAACAGTATAAAATATAATATAATAAATTAATCCTTTTACATAATTATTGCGTACTATTGTGAAAATTAAAAACAACAACGTTAAGAATAAAATAAATCTTGCCGCCAGATTCGTTTGTGAACATTTGCTCAAAGAGAACGGTCCCATAATTTACAACACATTTTCCCGCGGAATTCAACTAACCAGATGGTCCGATTGTTAGTATAGGGACAGGGTCTTGTAAATTCTATTCTGACCATGGTAGAAAAACTTTAAAATGAAAGATGTAAAGAGCGAAAACGAATATTTGAGTTTGCACTTGTATTTTAATGTACAAATTGCGACTCATCAATGGCTTGACGTATTCATACCTACATATATTAATTGAAACATTGGCAAATTTTCTGTTAGCACTTGCATTAAATTAAACAGTGTAAATATCAAGAATATTATAAATTTAAATAGGTAACAGTCAAAAAAT